GGCTTGATCCCACAACCCTGGGATCATGACGTGAGCCGAAATCAAGTTGGCTCAACCAACTAAGCCACCCAAGTGTCCCTGTGTTTTAATGTGACACCAGTCAAAATTCCATTGTACATTCACTTAATGGAATACTAAAAGTATTTTTTAACTTAAAAAATAAATTTAAAAGAATGTGGGAATGCATACATAATAAACTCAGTTTTTTTTTATTATTTTTTTTTTAATTTTTTTTTCAACGTTTATTTATTTTTGGGACAGAGAGAGACAGAGCATGGAGGGGGGAGGGGCAGAGAGAGAGGGAGTCACAGAATCGGAAGCAGGCTCCAGGCTCTGAGCCATCAGCCCAGAGCCTGACGCGGGGCTCGAACTCACGGACTGCGAGATCGTGACCTGGCTGAAGTCAGACGCTTAACCGACTGCGCCACCCAGGCGCCCCTAATAAACTCAGTTTTAAGAAACTGCTCAATTAATAATTTTTCAAAATGCATAAAAAGCCTTAAGAAATAATGAAAATTTAACAATTGTTATCTCTAGGTGGCATATATGGGGGGATGGGGAACTGGCTTGTTTCTCACTACCTGTGTCATGATCACCCACAAAGGAAACACTCAAGTGAAATTTACAAAACTCAAAAGTCCAAAAGGCAGAAGCTTTTTGACTTTCATAACACACATAGTTTTCAGATTAATCTAATCACTTCAAAGTATTTTCATTTTTCATAGAATAAGAGGAGAGTAGGACTTGAGGTCAAAGGAGATTCGAAAACGGACCTTGAGTAGGAGATTGGATATGATGGACCAAACTGTGTGTCAGCTGTGAGAATCATACGCTAAAGAGCCTGCTCCCATTTTCCCAGGTGGTGGACTCAAATTACTGAAACCCTCTGTCCATCAAGACCTCCCCAATTCACTGCACTTCTCAGACCCGTGCATACCCCAACAAGCTACCCAATCACAAACATAAATAAGGCTGTCCAATTGATGTGGAAATCTTCAAATTTGGAGCTGAGGGCCAAGGAAGAATTCTTGAGACATTGGTGCAAAAAAAACCGGCTTTATTAAAGCACTGGACAGGACACGTGGGCAGGAAGAGAGCTGCACTAGAGTCCTAAAGGCATTAGGGACAGCACAAGCCTCCAAGAATTTTGGAAACAAGGTTTCCAGGACCTTGAGGGGGTAGCTGTGGTTCGGAAACGGTCATTTATTACTGTTTAGTAAACCCTCAGTCATGTGACCCTTCAGCTGTGAATCAGTGGGCCATATACTTAGAGGATGATGGCTAACATGTATCTTGGGAGGTAGAAATAAAGGAAGCTTCCAAAGGAATTTCTGTATGTTTTAAGTAGGCACACAGGATCCTGGGGGTTTGGGATAATGCTAAGATTGCCTTTTGCCCTTAGCAAAGTGTCAACATCCAGGCAGCTGACCTCTTGGAAAACAGTCACTCTGCCTATTTCAAGGACTTGCCAATGGGCTGTAAGTTATAAAGAAATTTAATTTTTTCTTTTGCCTTTGTTCCTCACATCACAATCACTCAAGCCCACTCTTCTATCTTATCCTGAACCAAGTCACCCCATTCAAAAACCCACGGCATTTAAGTTATTGCGGACTCGCAGCCAACCAAACATAGACCACCAAAAGTCCCCAGGGAGGGGCGCCCGGGTGGCTCAGTTCATTAAGCAGCAGACTCAGGCTCAGGTCATGATCTTACGGTTCATGAGTTCCAGCCCGTGTTGGGCTTTGCACCCACAGTGCACAATCTTCTTGTCTCTCTGCCCCTCCCCTGCTTGCGCTTTCTCTCTCAAAATAAAAACTTAAAAAAAAAAAAAAAGGTCCCCATGGAGTAATCCCTAAGCCCCGCTGACGTACTCCCATGACACCTGCTCTCACGCCGAAGCCTCGTCTCCCCTCACTCATCACAGATCCCCTAACCCATGGCCGGATGCCCCCAGGCTGCCTTCACCAACAACTGACCGCACCACCACCCTGCCCAAGCACTCGTTAAGCGCCGCCCCTCTAAGCAAGAATCTGACTTAAGCATCACCGGAGGTTTAAAAGAACGGCACACGACACTTCCGTTTCCGGCGCACCCCGCGCCGACCACCTCTGCCGCTCACTCTTGGGCACGTGGAGATAAGAGGGCCGCATCCTCCCAAACACTGGAATGCAGGGCCGTGGATAGACGGCAAGTAATGCTGCTGCCCGCACTGAGCGGCTTCACAACGGGAGCGGTTGTCTTGAAATACATGCAGGTCTGAGGCCTCCGCTCACTTCTCCCGGTCTGTCTCGCTCCCTCGCTTCCAGGCCCGCGCCTCTGCAGCCCGCCCGGGCCGCCACGCATGCTCAGTAGCGCGTCCAGGCCGCCGCGCCTCCGGGAGCCGCTACGCATGCTCAGTAGCGCGTCCGAGGCGCAGCGCCTCCCGAGTGGGCCCCTCCAGCGGGAGGGTTGGTAGCGGAATCCGAGAAGACTTCTGATGAAGGGCAGCGGGCTCTGGGGGACACAGTAGGCCTGTGCGTTGAAGAGAGGTAACTCTAGGGTATTCGTATAGAGGTTGTGGAAGAGGAAAAGGGAAAGGAGACACCGGGGCCAGTAGGAGGGGAAAGCCAACTGTGAGGGCGGGCTGCGTGCCTGACCCTGAGAAAGGGGGCCCAGTGGAGGGGGGCGGGGGAGCTCTGCACGTGGTCGAGGCGCCCGGCCGCAGCAGAGCCGGGGAACTGTTGCGAATGCTAAAGCCAGGAAAAGTGCGGATGTGAACTACTGCATTTCTGGAGTTGTCTGCCGGGCTCCGCTGATCATACCAACCAGCCCTACCCCAAACTCCACAGTCTGTGACACATCCTGGGAAACAAGAGTTCAAGTTACTCCATCAAAGAACAGTATACTTCACCTGGACGCCTCCAACCTATCTGGGTCGGAGATGTCACATAAAGGCTTGGCTTTAAGTGCTTCTTCAACACGCAGGAAGAGTATTTTGTCATCTTCCCAACGACAAAGTGGAGACCCAGGCCCAAATGGGACTAGTCATGTTAATGTGACCTGTCGTCAGGCGGCAGCCACGTCTCCTGGTGTACACTTTTATGGCTCTTATTACTTAGGGAATCCCCAGTGGCTTAACTTCCACTGTTTAATTTCTTAGGTTTAGTAATGATGTTTTGATTATGTAGGGGATGCATGATAATATAGATGTGATAGTATCTTTACGACCAGAGGATTCTGAAAAGATAAACAGGTAGGTAACTAAATGGAAAATAGGCACATAACAAAATGGTGAAGTTGCTGAACCTATTTTGTAGGTACATAGGCCTCATCATTATTTAGACTTGCAATCTTTTTATACCTAAAAATTGTTAGAATGCAAAGTTGGAAAAATAACGATTTCTTCTTTGACTCATGCAATGTGGGGGGGATAAGTTTAAGAATTCTCTGAACTTGCACCAATGGGTTCACAAGGCTTAGGGCGGAAAGCCGCTTTCACAGGACGAAAGCCTCCGAGAGCTGGTAGAGGTGGAGAGCCGCGGCTGCAAGGCTTTGTCCCAGGTTTGCTAGCGAGAAATATGCCTTGTTAAGCCTGGGGTGGCATGCCCCACTCATCTTAGCCCCTAGAAAAGGTAGACAAATACGGTGCCAGCAGTGAAGGGCTGCCTGCTTGGCACCAAGATGTTGATTTGTCTTGACCCTAACCCCTAACACCACATACCTTTGGAACCCCTTTTCTCTCACACACATGAATAATGATAACTGTTTTATTGTCTCTTTCGGCATGACCATCATATATGTAGTCCTTCTGATCCTAATATGGAGAAAGGACCTTACTCAGGGCTCTTGTCTCCTCCCAGACATTAGCCTCTCTCGTGTTCATTTCTGCATCTGCTCTCTTGCTGAACATGAGAGAACTCCGGACTCAAGGTCTGCAACAATGTAATATTTATAATTCATTTCTTGATTCCCAGAATTACAGATTTCTAGCTAATTTTTGTCCTGGACTTAGTGTATGTCGGCTTACAGAACAAGAGTGCACATTATTTAGTCCTTTCGGGTTTGTTGAGATTTGCATTATAGGCTAGAACATGGCCAACATGGTAAACTTTGGAAAATAAGTGCTTGAAAATTCTGTGAATTTTGAGAACATTGTATACAATACCTCCATTATATTGATTTTTGTTATGTTGTTCAAAACTTCCTTTTATAAATATTTTTATCAGCGTAAATTTATCTTTTTTTATTCCACATTTCTTTATACTCTGCCTTCTTTTGGGTTCATGATAATTTTTCTTTTTTTTTTTTTTTTTCAACGTTTATTTATTTTTGGGACAGAGAGAGACAGAGCATGAACGGGGGAGGGGCAGAGAGAGAGGGAGACACAGAATCGGAAACAGGCTCCAGGCTCTGAGCCATCAGCCCAGAGCCCAACACGGGGCTCGAACTCACGGACCGCGAGATCGTGACCTGGCTGAAGTCGGACGCTTAACCGACTGCGCCACCCAGGCGCCCCGATAATTTTTGTTTCTTAATCATTCTGCCTTTGCCCTTGACTCATTTGGAAAATATGCACTCTGTTCCTGTTCCCTTAATGATTACTTTAAACATGGGTTTTTTTTTTTTTTTTAGGTTTTATTTACTTAAAATTAAAGTTTATTTTTTTATTTTAGAGAGTATATGAGCAGGAGAGTGGGGCAGATACCAGCTGCTTCCAGTTTTTCAAAACTCAGGGACAGAAGAGTTGTGATTACTCATCACTCTTAAATCTCAGTATTTTGGGGGGGTACCTGGGTGGCTCAGTCAGTTAAGCTTCCGACTCTGAATTTTGGCTCCTGATCTCATGGTTCGGGGGATTGAGCCCAGCATTGGGCTCTGCACTGACAGTGTGGAGCCTGCCTGGGATTCTCTTTCTCCTACTCTCTCTCTCTCTCTCTGCCCCTCCCCTGCTCATGCGCACACACTCACTCTCTCTCAAATAAACGTTAAAAAAAATAATGGAAAAGGAAAGGGAGGATTTAGGGAAATGGTGAAAAGGGACCTTGTTTATTCTATAGACTTATTTAACTTTTACACCACACGTATTGATATATTTAAATCAATTAAATCAGAGTGGCAGAAGACAATTTGTGTTAAAAAAGAATATTATCCCAAATGGCTAAAAAGTATTACCAGATCCGTTTACACATACCAGCCAAGTTTTTTTTTTTTTTAAGTCTTGTTTAGTTTTAAGCCTAATTACTTCCCTTGCAATTTATAAGATATACAAAAATTTACAATGCTGGCATTTCTTGATGGATTCTACACCTACAAACAAGAATTTTATGGTATACGATTTTCTTTCATGATCTTATGAAACCTGAAACTCAGGACATACATGTGCTACAAAAATCCTCTGGACACAAAATCACATACATCTTGGACCTTTCTTAAATTACTGCTTTGACTATTCCATATATTCAAACATGAAACAAAACTGTCTTTTAGCATACTGCAGTTATTTGCTCTTCTTGACTACTTCATGTTGTATTTTTTATAAATAAATGGTAATGTGACAGGAACAGAATTTCTATTATAAAGTTTATATGTAAGCAACTGGCCCAGTGTCATTACATGACACTAACTCTCCTTAATAAGTATTATCTGATGCACAGTAAGTTTTGGACTTCATGCCAGAGGCATCTCTTATCACAAGTCTTCAGTCAGCTATCTTCTTTGGTGTGAAAGCTCATTTGTTTGGAAGGTGTTCCAGGATTCCCAACATTTACGAGTTTTTTTCTTCCCCCTCAGTGAAAACTATTATATGATGACCCCTCAAACACATCTGTTGCGGCCAAGTTTTATTTCTGTGTGACGTATAATGGGATTTCTCTTCTCGAGAACAGATGTTGACTTTTCACCTCATTTGTAGGCCTTTCCCTAAGGAAATTAGGCTACACTGGTGGTAGATGGTTTTCCTATATTCACTGCATTTAAAAGGTCCCTCCTGGATAAGTTTTCTGGAACTGACAAAGACCAAAATTATCCTAACGTTCCCTGCATTCAGAGGGTGTCCTTTGTGTGGATTCTTTTGTATGCCGTGAGATCTGGCCCTTCACTAAAGTCTTTCCAGCGCTGTGTTCCCGAGATTTCTTTCCTGTGTGAATTTCCTCATGTGAAGTGAGAAAGAACTTGACAGAGAATGTTTTCCCACACTCATTACAGTGATAAGGTTTCTGTCCCACGTGACTTCTCTGATGAACACTGAGGTATGATTTCTCAAAAAAGGCTTTCCCACATTGAGTGCACTGATATGGTTTCTCTCCTGTGTGGCGTCTCTGATGTCTGATGAGCTGTGACTTCTGGTTGAAGATCTGACCACATGGAACACACCCATAGGGTTTCTCTCCAGTATGACACCGTTGATGGATAATAAGATGGCTTTTTTGGCGGAAAGCTTTTCCACATTCATTGCATCCATGGGGTTTCTCTCCTGTGTGAATCAACTGATGTCTACTGAGCATTGCCATACTGCTAAAGGCTTTCTGGCATTCGAGACATACAAAGGGTTTCTCTCCTGTATGCGTTCTGTGATGGACAATGAGCATTGCCTTTCGCATGAAAGCTTTTCCACACTCACCGCATTCATAGGGTTTCTCTCCTGTATGAGTTCGCTGATGGACAATGAGATGTGACTTGTCTATGAAGGCTTTTCCACACTCACTGCATTCATAAGGCTTCTCTCCTGTATGAATTCTCTGATGTGTTATGAGGGATGACTTTTTATTAAAGGCTTTCCCACATTCCTTGCACTCATAAGGTTTCTCTCCTGTGTGAGTTCTTCGATGAACGATAAGCTGGGAGTTGTCTATAAATGCTTTTCCACATTCACTGCATTCATAAGGCTTCTCTCCCGTATGGATTCTCTGATGTGTTACGAAGTGTGACTTTTTATTGAAGGCTTTCCCACATTCCTTACACTCATAAGGTTTTCTTCCCGTATGATTTCTCTGATGTACAATGAGCTGTGATGTGTGTACGAAAGCTTTTCCACACTCATTGCATTCATAAGGCTTCTCTCCTATATGAATTCTCTGATGCGTCAGGAGATGTGAGTTTTTACTGAAGGCTTTCCCACATTCCTTGCATTCGTACGATTTTTCTCGTGTGTGAGTTCGCTGGTGAACAACAAGCTGAGACTTACTGCAGAAGGTCTTTTCACATTCTTTACATGCATAGGGTCTGTCTCCTGTATGAGTTCTTTGATGGATAAGTAGGTTTGACTTCTGCATGAAACCTTTCCCACAGTCACTACACTCAAAAGGTTTCTCTCCTGTGTGTGTGCGGTAATGCAACCTGAGCTTTGTCTTCTCTCTGTAGGCTTTGCCACACTCTTTGCATTCATAGGGTTTCTCTCCTGTGTGAGTCCTGTGGTGTAAAATGAGATGATACTTTGTTCTGAAAGACTTTGGACACTCAAAACATCCATACGGTTTCTCTCCTGTATGAGTTCTCTGGTGCAGAGTAAGATGACATTTTGTACTGAAAGCTTTCTGACATTCAGGGCATCTGTACGGCTTCTCTCCTGTATGAGTTCTCTGGTGTATTATGAGCTTTGACTTATACCTGAAGGATCTGGGACATTCACTGCATTCATAAGGTTTTCCTTCTGTGTGAATTCTGTGATGTCTTTTGACATTTTTCACCGTGCTGAAAGTCTTCACACAGAAATTATGTTCACTGTACTGGGCTGAAGTATGGCAGGTTTCATGTGGAGTATGGAAAAATGATTTCCCATGGCCACTTAATTCACTGGAATTCATTTCTGCAGAATTTTTATTCTGAAGTTTTGAATCTGAATATCGTTTCAAACGTATTCCTCTTGAGAAACACTGAAGGGGTCTTTCTACAAATGGAACAAAGTTTTGCTCAGAGAAAAATTTTTTCCCAATGCATTATTTTCATTATTGCTTAACAGATTCATCATTCTCAATATTTTCCTGATACTAATCCTAAACCTGCCACATTACTTCAGGGGAAAAAAAAAAAAAAATCCTATCATTATGAAATGGAGGGGGATGGAATCTCAAGTCCCTATCTAAAGAGAATGGAGAAAGTGACACAGCAGGTGCACAGAAGTCAGAGGCATCCAATAAAAGAAATAGATAATAAGTAATGAACTGAAGGACCTGGGTGTCATCAAATTTTGGAGGGAATCTATGAAATCTCTAGAAGCGTAACAGAAGGGCTATGTGGGGGTGCCTGGGTGGCTCAGTTGGTTGAGTGTCCGCAACTTCAGCTCAGGTCATGATCTTATGGTTTGAGGGTTCAAGCCCCATGTTGGGCTTTGCACTGACGGCGCGAGCCTGCTTGGGATTCTCTGTCTCCCCTTCCCTCTCCCCTCCCCTGCTCACTCCCTCTTTCTCGAAAACAAACATTAAAAAAAAAAAAAAAAGCATACCTCTTTAAAAAAAAAAGAAAGAAAAAGAAGGAGAGCTAAGTGAATATGGGTAAGACATGGGGAAAGTGGGTTGTGTCTAACAAGCTGCAAAAGAACAACTGAGCCAAAAAAGAAAGACCGAATGAAACAGGCCAAGGTCTGACCCAGGGCAGATAAAAGGAGGTACGTCTTCTCTGAGGTGGCTAGCAAATGAGTCATACGCGGTAAGAGAAGGAAGCGCCATTCACACTGGTGACCTCTGTTCACTCAAAGTCACCTCTAAAGGTTCAAAGAGGATGAGAAAAAAAACCCAAAATAACAAGGGTCCCAAAGCACCAAGATCAACTGTCACTTGGCTTCCGCTAACTCCCACTGCGCTGGTATACTCGCCTGGACTACACGAACTTGGGAATTCTCTCTCTACCAGTCCTTGCACTCCTTTCTCCACAGGAACCGTTGCTTCTGGCCAGGGAGCGTGATAACCTGTCAAGAGGTCATCACAGAGAACTGAGCAGTATTAGGGCCTATTGAAGGAAAGTTCTGTTTTAGGGAACAGACAGTAAATCTCAGCAGAACAGAAACTCTTTATTCCAAAAATGAAAATAAGTACCGTCACTGGTCATAAGGAAAGTAGGTTCTATCACCTTTCCAAGTCCAAAATCACTAAGGATATCGGAGTACCCATAAATTGTAGCAATGGGGGGGAAAAAGGGGCAATTAATGGGCTCATGCTGAGATATGTAGGAAAGTTGTCTTTACCCAATGACATTAGGTTGCTGTAATTTTCCAACATCACGTCCCGGTAGAGGTTCTTCTGAACAGGATCCAGTAGCTCCCATTCTTCGCAGGTGAAATCCACAGCCACATCACTGAATGACAATAAGCCCTGTAATAACATAACCCTTTTTGATCTGGAGTTAATATAACGGGAAAAATGTAGGAGACAGATGTTATTCTGATTATTTTTGCTATAGACATTTATAAACAAGTATTTCTCCATGCCTAGTTTTGATTTCTGCTTTGTGGGCTAATGACTTCATTTAAGCTATCCTTTCTGCATTCTTCATTCACTTCACTCATTCATTCACCCATGCAAAGTGTTGCTAAAACTTTGCCTAAAAACCATCTGCAACCCACCTTAGGAGTGTTTAATGTTGGGGCGCCTGGGTGGCTCAGTTGGTTAAGTGTCCAACTCGAGCTCAGCTCGGGTCATGATCTCACGGTTTGTGAGATCAAGCCCCGAGTCGGCTCTGTGCTGACAGCGCGGAGACTGGTTGGGATGGATGGATTGATTGATTCATTCATTCATTCTCTCTCTCTCTCTCTCCTGCCCCCTGCCCCTCTCTGCCCCTCCCCATTCACACGTGCGCATACTCTTTTCTCTCAAGTTAACTTTTTAAAAATGAATAATGTTACCTACTGTAATAGGAATACATATGTGCTAAAAAAGGAAATAAAGCATAATCCAGCCTTCATGTAGCTTCTGATAGTGCAGAGTGGCAAGTACACTCCCTGACAGAGGTGACATATGGGAAGACATTATGGTTTAAGGGTTACGACAGAAGTATACTCAAGTTAAAACATGGGCACACGTAGGTGGAGAAATAACAGTCCTGAAAAAGTGGTCAAGCTAGAGCTACATCCGGTATGTTCAGTGGTGTGTCCCACAGTAAGAGCTAGAAGAGGTGGGAGCCATGGGTCTTCCAAAGGGAGGACGAGTTCAAAGTGTTAAATCCTGGGGAGCCTGGGTGGCTCGGTCAGTGGAACAGCTGACTCTTGATTTCAGCTCAGGTCATGATCTCACGGTTCGTGGGTTCAAGCCCCAAGTTGGGCTTTGTGCTGACAGTGCTGAGCCTGCTTGGGATCCTCTCTCTCCCCCTCTCCTGCTTGTGCTCTTTCTTTTTCTCTCAAAATAAATAAAGTTAAAAAAAAAAAAGTGTTAAGTACCATACTGGCTTCAAGAAACTGCAAAAAGTTCAGCGAGACAAAAGAGGCCAAAGAGAACAGATGCCCTGGGCACAGGCAGCAACAGACCTTGGAGCAAGTGTTTATATTTCCTATAGACACTTGGTAGACACTATAGTGTTTTTCTTTTTTCTTTTTTCTTTTTTTTTTAAGTTAGTTTATGTATGTAATCTCTACACCAAATGCAGGGCTTGAACTCATGACCCCAAGATCAAGAGTCACATGCTCTTCCAACCGAGCCAGCCAGGTGCGCCTGCAGTGTTTTTCATATACAAAAGTATGTTATGCTCAGAATTACCTTTTAGAAATTGACTGTGCTACATATTAACTCATGATACAAAAGCAAACAGAAAGCACTTACTATGTATTGCTCTAAACACTTCATATGTGTTAACACAATGGTCTGCACAATGACCCTTAGGTGAGCATTACTCTTTGCAAATAAGAAGATATTTTTAAGTTTTCTAGCTATGCCTTTTATATCTCCTACATTTCCTTAGGAAGATGACCGTTCACTGGGTCCATACTCTGGAGAAGGACAGGAGAAGAATACCCATCGATATTTGAGGACACTTCTTCACACTTAATGCCTGGGAAATATTTACTCAAAAAGTTCATGTGCTTCCTCCTTACATACAAAGTAAATCCCTTTTTTAAAAAATGTTTATTAATTTTTGAGAGAAAGAGAGACAGACAGAGCATGAGCAGGGGAGGGGCAGAGAGAGAGGAAGACACAGAATTGGAAGCAGGCTCCAAGCTCTGAGCTGTCAGCACAGAGCCTGATGTGGGGCTCGAACTCACAAGTGGTTAGATCATGACCTGAGCGCAAGTCAGACACTTTAACTAACTGAGCCACCCAGGTGCCCCTATACAAAGTAAATCTTATGTTTTTATTCTTTTGTGATGGTTTCCAGTATTACCACAGATATGTCTGCAACTCAGCTCTGGATCCCACTGCTTATGTGGCAATGTTCCAACTGTTAGCACCTTGCAACATGTGACATGCAGATTAGCTAGAACTCCCTTCCTCATTGGCTCCTCTGGATCATTTATTCCATCTCTGGGTCTAAGCACATCTCTCCCAGCTGCAATGTATCTATATACATAGTTCACTTTGTGTAGTGTTTTAAATCGTTAACTAGTTAATTAGTTGTCACACAATGTTACATTAGTTTCAGTTGTATAATAGAGATTCAACAAACTATAGTCATGTCATGTTCACTGCATGTGTAGCTGTCTAAATACAACACTATTACAATATCATTGATTACATTCCCTATGCTGTACATTAAAAAATTTTTTTTTCATTGTTTTATTTTAGAAAGAGAGTGTGAGTAGGGAAGGGGCAGAGGGAGAGAGGGAATTTTAGGCTCTCAGCGTGAAGCCTGATATGGGACTCGATTCCAAGATCCTGGGATCATGACTTGAGTGAAATCAAGAGCCGGCCGCTCAACCGACTGGGCCACCCAGGTGCTACCCTATGCTGTAGCTTTTATGCTCATGATTTCTTCATTCCAAAATTGAAAGCCTGTATCTTCCACTTCCCTTCACCCATTTTGCCCAACTCCTCACTCCCTTACCAACTCTGGCAAGCATCAGATTGTATGCATTTTTATAAACCTCTAGAAATATGGGAAATAAACAGCTCACCTGGGACTTGGTCATTTTCAGCATTCAGGTGTCTCCGGTGTCAAGAGTATCCTCAGTAAGGATGAATTTCTAGACTCGAGATCTCCTTTTTTTCCTTTATAGGAAGTGCCTCATGCTGGGAAGGCAGCATCTATGGATTCAAAGAAAGATTTGTTTGGCATGGAAATAATAATAAAAGCAAGCTCCTGTGCAGGCAAGGAACTGTTTTTAAGCGTCTTCTTTTCTCACTTAACCCTCACAATCCTAGTGGCTAGACTATAATTATTCCATTTGAAAGAAAAGAAAGATCAAGCCCCTAACTAAAAGCCACACGGTAACTGGTGGACCAAGGATTAAGACGCAAACCCTCAGAAATGATAGAATCTGATTCCAGGGAAATTACCAGAATGATGAATCATCCTTTCAGCCTAATCAACTAAAAAAAAATGGGGGAAATATCTAAAACAACTCTTTTCAGACACAGAAGTCAGAGAAGAAGGGGAACACTGGTGAGCTGAGACTCACTGCCTGGAGACCTTCTAGACCACAGTTGGGGAGAAGGAACCCAAAGAGTCTAGCAGGCTTGCGGAATTAATGATAAACAAGTCAAAGTCTGAGGAAGCAAAGATGACAAGCACTTGCCAGGCAGTATACCAGAGAAGAGAGAGAGGGAAAACTCACTCTGCAGATGCACAGAGGGTTCTTTTGAGTCTCTGGCTAAGGTCTAATGAACTGTGAGGAAGGGAGAAGGTCCGACAATTCCTGGAGCTCACACCAGATCAGGAACAGCCAGTGTTCCCACTAGCCTGGGTGGAAAGACCTTCTAGTATGCCTGTTTTTCAAATGTGCAGAGGTCTCAGGAGAATATTACCTCAATAATGGGGACAAAATAAGACCAAAAAGACTCTTATGGCCCCACCTAAGAAAGCTTAAAAGAAAGCCTCCAAAGAATCAAAACTCTTTCAGAGTAATTTGGTTACATCCCAGAGCAAACCTCAAAAGTAGTGAAAGGAATCAAAGAAAATCCTGCAAACAGTGTGAAGCTGACGATATATGATATCCAATCAAAAATGACCAGAGATGCAGAGAAGCAAGGAAATATGACCCACGGCTAGGGGGGAAATCAAGCAAGAGAAAGAGACAAAAATGGCCAAAGGGAGAGACCTGGCACCCAGTACGCCAAAAACGCTATCATAGGCACACCTGGGTGGCTCAGTAGGGTGAGCTCAGGTCATGATCTCGTGGTTTGTGGGTTCGAGCCCCATGTCGGGCTCTGTGCTGACAGCTTGTAGCCTGGAGCCTGCTTTGGATTCTTTGTCCCCCTCTATCTCTGTCCCTCCCCTGCTTGTGCTGTCTGTCTCTCTCTCTCAAAAATAAACATTAAAAAATTAAAAACAAATGCTATTATATATATACTCCATATATTCAACACATTAGAGACAAGCATGAACATGATGAAAAACTTTAAAATGTTTAACAAATGTGACTGAAACACTAGGAGGACATTTACGTTTACCTCATACCAAAATTAACTCAAATAGATTACAGTTGTAAGAACTGAAACTGTGATACTTCTAGAAGAAAGCACAGAAAAAAAAATTTAAGTTTATTTGTTTTAGGAGAGAGAAGAGAGAAGGGGGAGGAAGCAGGGCAGAGAGAGAGAGAAAGAGAGAATCCCAAGCAGCCTCTGTGCTGTCAGTGGACATGAGATCATGACTTGAGCTGAAATCAAGAGTTGAATGCTTAACTGACTGAGCCATCCAGGAGCCCCAAGCACAGAAAAACTTTAAGTGATCTTGGATTAGGCAAAGATTTATTACAGGGCACAAAACGCACAATAAAAAAAAAAAAATTTGATAAATTGGACTTCCTCATTACTAAACATTTTTGATATGCAAAAGATAGTTGTAAAATGAAGGATGAAGCCAGAGGAGGTTAGAGTAAAACATTAATGAAGTGCATACTTGATTGAAAGACTTCTATGTAAAAAATATGAAGAACTTTTCCAACTTCACAAAAGAGACAATCTAGTAAAAAAAGGAACAAAAGATTTAAACAAACACTTCCTCCCAAACATAGACAGCAATTAAGCACATGAAAAACTGTTTTAGGTTACACAACGAAAGCAAATTAAAACCAAAATAATATATTGCTACAAACCTGTTAGAATGGTCATTTATTTATGTGTTTACATATGTGTGTATATATGTATTTATTTATTTATAAGTAAGCTCTAGGCCCAACGTGGAGCTCCAACTCATGACCCTGAGATCAAGACTTGCCAGGTGCCCCAGAATGGCTATAATTTAAAAGACCGAGGGGCGGTCTCAAATACTTCTCTCTTGTTGAGACTTTATCTTCACACAAAATCCCAGCTGGATCTCTTATGTACTCCGAGCAGTGCTGACTGTTAAATAATTAATTCTGGCTACGCAAAATTAATTTACCACAGAGTAATGTAGAGATGCCAGGACATCCTGGAAATACTTGGACACAGTTTATTACTCTCAATATCACGCTGCTGAGAACTCTGAAAGAAAATACAACTCTGTTTGTTAGACTGTAGGAGAACTGAAGAAAACAACTGGATTTCAAAGACAACGGGAGAAAGAAATTTATAGGCCAATTGCATTTATTAGCTTCTCTATAAAAACCTGAAATAAGGGACTCCTGGCTGGCTCAGTGGGTAGAGCATGCAACTCTTTTGTTTTTAATGGTATTCTCTTTTTTTAATGTTTATTTATATCTGAGAGAGAGAGACGAGTGAGTGCACATGAGAGGGGGAGGGGCAGAGAGAAAGGGAGACAGAGGATCCAAAGCTGAAAGCACAGAGCTTGATGCAGGGCTTGAACTCATCAACCACAAGATCATGACCTGAGCCGGAGTCAGATGTTTAACCGACTGAGCCACCCAGGCACCCTGAGGATGCAACTCTTGATCTCAGGGTTGTGAGTGTGAGCCCCATGTTGGGTGCAGAGATTGCTTAGGAAAAAAATAATTAAAAAAAACCTCAAAATAAAATGCTAGATAACTGTATCCACTGGTATGTAGGAGGTACATACTAGGAAAACTGAATACAGAAGAACTGTACTATGCACAGCTGACTTTATTCCAGTAATGCAAGGATAGTTTAATAAGAACCATTTAATTCTCTCAAAAGATGAAGAAAAGAGATGTCAGAAAACCCCAAGCCACTCAATTAAAAAAAATATATTACTAAACTAGAAATAGACAAGAAAGAGTATCTACAAAATAATCCACAGCACATTTCTTTAAACTCAGGGACATGGATAACCTCTCACTGAACCTTTAGTCAAAAATGTACCACAGATCAGAACCTGAGCAATAAAATGGGCAAAACCAATTGAAAGAAGACTGGAAAAACCCAAAACTGTCATTATGCAACTGTTCTGAGATCAATATAAACATCAATTGGAATTTCACATTCAAAAAACAACTAAGGTTTAAAAGGGGTTAAAACCAGTATTCACAATACCAGCAAAACCTATGAAGTACCTGGGGGGAACCTGTGCAAGGTAACATTATAGCAAAAGAATGCAAATCGTAAGCAGTCAAATGGAGAGAGGGACAAGAGGGTGAGGTTCGGGAGGATCCCAAACCAGAAGTTTCCATTGTCCTATCCTCTGGGAGTTGGGACACATTACTTATCCGTCCAGCATATCCACGAGTGCCAATATGTAGGGTATTGCCACCACAGAGGTGCATCTGAGTTTCAGTGTCTGTAGTTTTTATTAGAATTTCATTAATCAGTAAGCAGGACTGATTTAATCACTGGCCATTTGACTCAGCCTCCAGCACCACTACCATCTTGGAGCTAAGGCTGGTCTCACCAGGCTCAAAGCCCCCACCCCCTAATCGCATGGTTGGTCTTTCTGGCATAAATAGCCCCATGCCAAGTGTCTTCATTGGCATAAACTACCCATAGACCCACCATGAATAATAACAGGGACACGCCTGTCACTTAGGACATTCCAACAGTTTAGAGGCTACCTCCCAGGAACTGGGGACAAAGCCCAGGCAAATGGTTTATCACAAAATACCTAGCAAAAGACTAAGTTTCTAAGTACGTGACTATTCTCTAAAATGAGTAAAGACAAACTTGTAAGTTTTAAAATTGGCCAACGTAATATATGAAGATGTTGAATCACTATGTTGTACACCTGTAACGCTGTTGTATCAACTGTAATGAAGTTTAAAAATTAAAGTAAGTAAATAAAATAAAACTGGCCAATGAACATATAAAAAGATAATCGGGGCACCCAGGTGGCTCAGTTGGTTAAGTATCTGACTCTTGATCTCGGCTCAGGTCATGATCTCACGGTTTTGTGAGTTTGAGCCCCACATTAGGCACTGTGCTGACAGTGTGGAGCCTGCCTAGGATTCTCTCTCTCCTCTCTCTCTGCCCCTCCCCCACTCATGCTGTGTCTTTCTCTCTCTCAAAATAAATAAACATTAAAATTAAAGAAAAAAGATAATCAACCATCATAGTTATGAGAATAGTACATATGGAGACCACAATGAGAGGACTTTGACACCCAGAAGATGGTCAAAAACAAGAATGAAAATACTAAGTGTGGGAAAGCTTACTGATCAACAGACACTTTTACAATACTGATGAGAGAGTAAGGTGGTACAAGAGAAATTTGGCTTTTCCTTCTAGATGAAAATTCATCTATTTTATGTCAGAAATTATACTTCTGGGCTAGACTATATACATTCTCACAATGACCAGGAGATATATAAGACTTTGGAACTTCACTACTTTTAACAGCCGAAACCCAGAAACAATACGAATGTCCAACAGTAGGAGAATGGATGCGTGAACACTATATTCATGCAATGAAATTCATTTTAATGAGCCAAACTTACATGCAAGATGGATGAATCACAGACTTTTTTTTTAATTAAACAAAATTGGGGGCACCTGGGTGACTCAGTCGGTTAGGCGTCCGACTTCAGCTCAGGTCATGATCTCACAGTCCATGAGTTTGAGCCCCGCATCGGCCTCTGTGCTGATAGCCTGGAGCCTGCTTCTGATCCTGTGTGTCTCTCTCTGCCCCTCCCCTGCTCGTGCTCTGTCTCTGTCTCAAAAATAAAAACACTTAAGAAATGTTTTTAATAAATAATTAAAAAAATTTTTTTTTATTTTAGAGAGAGAGTGCGAGCAGGGGAGAGGGCAGAGGGAGAGAGCATCTTAAGCAGGCTCCAGGCTGAGCATCGAGCCTGACACAGGGCTCGATCCCATGACCCTAGGATCATGACCTGAGCTGAAATCGAGAGACTCAGATGCTCAACTGACTGAGCCACCCAGGCGCCCTCAATCACAGACTTGTAATGAATCAAGAAAAGCAAGCCTCAGAAGACCACATTATAAGATCCTTATTATAACACTTACAAACTAGGAAAATTAAAGAGTGTACTCTTATGGTATTCATAGACATGATAAAATTATAAAAGTCAAGGGAATACTACATACTAATTTGTGAACAGTAGTTCCAAAGTTTGGGAGAGTTAAAAGGAGGGACTAGGAAGATGAATAAGCATGGAGACTTTTCCATTTTTAAATAATCAAATATGACCTTTAATTAAACAAAACTATAAAGAAAAGCTGAGGTTAATCACCTTTTTCTAAATGGGGCTATCACACTAGAAAAAACTCATAAAAGGATGATACACCCAGTATCACTAAAGATGTAGAAAAGCCTGGCACATAGTGTGTGCAAGCATTACATAATGGAACATTACTGGGGAGTTTGGTAAAACTAAACCAGAAGCCTTTGAAATATGAAATATGCAGTTAAGCCGGCCTACTTTTATATATTAAAAAAGGAAAATAGGGGGGCGCCTGGGTGGCGCAGTTGGTTAAGCTTCCGACTTCAGCCAGGTCACGATCTCACGGTCTGTGAGTTCGAGCCCCTCGTCGGGCTCTGCGCTGATGGCTCAGAGCCTGGAGCCTGTTTCCGGTTCTGTGTCTCCCTCTCTCTCTGCCCCTCCCCCATTCATGCTCTGTC